CAACTTCATGTTTTAAAAATGCCTCTATAATAGGGCTAATACTACTTGCTTCACTTTCTGATAATGGATTTTTTTTTCGAGTTGTAAGCTGAATCCATCTAGCTTTTATTAATGAAGGTGGTAGTTGAGTAAGAAGACTTGAATAATTTTCATGAAAATCCATATAATTTTATGAAATATATTTTCATGAAATATTTTAATCTTTCAAAAAAATATAAAAAGCATTCACACTTCATGAAAAATTATAATCTTTCAAAAAAATATAAAAACTACCCAACCATTTTGATAACAGTTACTGACTTTATATTAATAATTAAAGAGTCATAGATATATGGAATACACTTTCATTTTAATACTTCTTTGAGAGCTTAACGCTTAAAGCTCTTTGTTCAGCCAACTCTGGAGATATTCCATTTGATATAAAATTTTTATATGCTTGTATACACCAATGCCAATATGGGAAACTAGTTATTTTATCAGATAATATCCAACACTTAGTATTTATAGAGCAAAGAGCCTTCTTTTCTGATTCAACCAAAGATAATATATGGTCTTTTGATTGGATACCTACATTCTTAGCATGGAATACTTCATTACCAAAAAGACAGTCTCGATAAACTAAAGTCATAAGATCTGCCTCAGTTCGCATAGCCAAATCATTGGCTTCTTGCTCTGTTAATAATGACCTGTCTATTGGATCATCTAGCAAAGACCCTTCTAAAGCTGGCATATAAGAGTTCATAGCTATTTTACTCATACCCTTTTTGCTAACTCTTTTATGTTTAGATGTTGTAGACTTATTTGCCAAAACATAGTGATAAGCTTTGCCTCGAATATGATAAGATTCTGTAATTACACTATCTGGAGTTTCATCTTTAAATTTACCGATAGTTGTATCACCATTAAGGTTAAAGAGATCAGGTCATTCTTCTATGTCTTTATAAATATTCTCAGTCTCAACTTGAAATATAAAAGAGTCTGTATCCATATATCCAAGCTGGGCTTTATCACCATATTTCTCTTTTAC